CTTTTTTATTCTCTCCTACATTCAATCTGTCGCGAACGCATTGTGGATTGTCAAGTATTACTCAAGTCAGTCTTTTGGATGAGGTTAGACATCACCTTTCATAGAAGGGGGAATGCTGCTCTCCTGTTAATAGTTGTTCCTTCCCAGAGGTTATAACCTTGGACTTTGAGCACCATCTTTTCTGACTGTGTGGAAATGCTATTAACAATCAGGAGCATAACTTCCTTGACTTGGATTCTTTAAGGAAAAATTGGTGCAAAGATGGCAGTTTCAATTTGAACTTGAGCTCTAAAAATGGTCCATCTATGGTTATATTTACCATGTTAGAAGTGAAGTTTCATTTCTGGATGCCTTTGAAAACTGACTTCATGTGTTTCTGGTGGGGGGCTGGGGATTCTCTCTTGCAGTCTGGTCTTACCAAAGCAGTGAAGGAGAGTACAATTACATTGCAGCAGGCAGAGTATGAATTTCTGTCCTTTGTACGACAGCAGACTCCTCCGGGGCTCTGTCCACTTGCAGGTAAAATCCAATCCTATGTATATCTTGTAGATAGTCTTCCATTGTAGTGGTTCAAGAGACTGCAGAAAGACCAGCCAAGACCAACCATGTCTTCTACTTAACCTGATTTGGGTTATATATCTTACTTTTGTGTTCAGTTTTTTTTTTGTATAGTTTAGAACATGAATATTGGGAAAATACCCTGAAACCTGACATGAGATCTGGGAAACACAGACTAACTCAATAGAAATTCCCCCATATTTTTATTATGGAGAAGTTTCAGATGCACAGAAAAGTTGGATTTAGTAATTGTTAACCTTGTGCAATGTTTGTTTTACCTATCGTTGGACATTTGAAAGTAAATTAAGGCATCATGACATTTCATTCCTAAATTCTTCATCAAGCATCTTCTAAGAGTAAGGACTTTTTAAATGTAACACAATATCATAATTGTATTAAAGGTAATTAAAAATCATTCAGTCCTTCAGTTCTAGTCCATGTTCTAAGTTCCCCAAAATGTCTGATTGTTTTTGAACCAGGATTCAATCCAGGCTCATGCATTTCATTTGGTTATTATGTCTCTTTAGTCTCTTAATTTTAAACTGTCCACCTATCTTTTTAAGAGACCAGGCCAGTTCTACCAGGACTTTTAAAGGGCTGACATTGTCAGAGGGAAGTTAATGTTCTGTGGAGATGTATTTGCATTTGTATATGTAAATTGATGTAGTAACTAACACTTAAACATTCATAAAAAGTTTTGGCATTAAGTGCTACAGCATATATTGTATGTTTCCCCCAGCCAATGTGGCTGATGTCTATTTTAAAGTTCTCATTAAAAATTTAGTGTTTTTAATATAAATTACTGTATGGAAACATGAATATGGATATGATTTGTTAAAAAAATTTGGAATGTAAATAAAGATTTATTTACTTACATGATTCAGTTAAGTTTTTAGTGTTAGTGGTGTGGATTTTGTGACACTGGGAGAAAGTTTGTGTATCTGGTGTGATCTTAAAAATAAAAAAATAGATTTGTACATTATTTTAAGCATGTGGAATGTTAGATTTATACTTTTGTCCATGAGAGACCATTTACAAATTTATTACAAACTAAATGGACTAAATAAATACTTATAAATTTGCACTTGTAAACTAATTAGATGTACTCAAACCTGATTTAGAAATTTAGAGATGCTTTTAGGAATTGTTTGAATTAAAAAAAAATCATCTCCATTTCAAATACAACTTATGAATTTTTATATCCTGTTGTATACTACTAGAAATACACAGATGCAGTATGCTTCGTGTCTTTCTAGGAAATTCAGTTCATGCAGATAAGAAGTTTCTTGACAAATACATGCCCCAGTTCATGAAACATCTTCATTATAGAATAATTGATGTGAGCACTGTTAAAGAATTGTGCAGGTAAGGGCTATATTTAGGATCCATTAAATTACCTTATTTAGCATGTTGTAACTGAGAATTTGCGGAAAGTAATTGAATAGAGCTATAGAACTGAGGGTACCAAGTGGGTGTATATATTCTTCATCCCATTCTCGTTTATGTAGGACCTTAATTTATTCTGAAAAGGTGTGAATTGGGAGAAACAACGTCAACCATCTTCCTTATAAAATTGCATTAATATAGAAAATTTATTGAGAACCCATTCTGTGCCAGGCATTGGCTATCTGCTGGGAACATATAGATGAAAAGTCCTTAAGTAGCTTAGAATCTATTGGGTTGACAGATGTGTAAAAAACACACCCTAAAAATATACTATATGATGACTTCTATACTGGAAATATGCATGTGGAATACCGAAGGCACAAAGGAAGGAACACTTAGCTGCTGGAGCAGGAGGATTGGGAAGTCAGGGAAGGCTTCACATAGGAAATAGCTTATAAATCGAAATTTAGAGAAGAGTAGAAACTTTCAAGGCATGTAAGTGAAGAGAGCACTCCAGCGAGTGGGCAGAGTTATGAGGATGTGAGGGAGCAGGAAGATAAGGCAAAATGTGTTCGAGGAATTACATATGGTTCGTTAATGCTGGAATGCAAAACATGAGATTGGCAAAGGTGGGAGATGAGGCTAAATTATGAAGGGCTTATATGTCATGCTAAGGAGGTTAGATTTCATCTTGTAAGGGATGGGGTTTCTTTGAGAAAGGTTAAGTAGAAGAATGAGTGATATGATAAGATCATTCTGATTAGAAGGTGGCAAGTAAAGTGGCAGGTAGATAAGAAAGGGGACTTTTGCATCATATTGGAGGGAGAAGAATGAGCTAGGGAAATGACAAGTGGGGTAGTGAGGGGATGGAGATAAAATATTTGAGAAGATTAATTGGCATGGCACCAAATGCTTGGATTGAGGGAGTGAGGAAAAGGAAGAAGCATAAAGTGATTTTGGTGTTTGTAGTTTGGCCAGCTTAGGTGGATGATGGAACTGTTCAATGAAAAATGGTAAAATAAGAGGAAGAGTAGATTTGGTGGATGGAGAGGGAGCTATTAAGAATGATGAGCGTGGTTTTTTAGATGTTGAATTACAAGTGTCTGGTGGATTTTTAGGTGGAGCTGTCCCGCAGGCAGTGAGATATCTATGACAGAGACTCTGGAGAGGGCTGGGTTGAAGTTACAGGTTTAGGAAATCTTATACACGGAAGAGCTTGCTCAAAGAGGATATGTAGAATGAGGAGAGAGGGTAGAAGACAGAGTCCCAGGCGAAGAGGCAGCTTGAACGTCACAACCCAGATGTCTTTATTTTAATGTTAGTAAATTACTTGAGGAGGTAATTATTCAGTGTATTTGAGACAGTTTCCTTTGAGAGTTCCATTTCTGCTGTGTATAGACGCTGGTATCCAGAAGAATATGAATTTGCACCAAAGAAGGCTGCTTCTCACAGGTAAGTTTGAGTTCTGCCAAGCACTTGCCAATCTGACACACATAATTCCAGATTGCTTGACATAATGTTCTTTCTCTCTTTTTCCTTGGGCGAGAGATAAAGTTCTACTAGCATAATGATAACTTTTTTACTAATATTATCAGGAATTCTGATCAGGATCCTAGTATTCCATTCTGAGGAAGGTCATATAGTCTTTACCGCAGTTTTAAAACTTAGATAACTTGGTTTATAGGTATTATGTAACAGTCTCTAATCTTTCTAGTAATGAGCAGTATTAATTTTCTTCACACAGAGGATTTGGACTTGTAGCCATTCAGAATTAGAACACTTTTTCACTTTTTAGTTTTTCACATTGTTTTATATCTGCAGCCTTAGGCACAGGTACACAAAGAATTTAAAGATCTTGTGTATTAAGCATCTGTAGTGGTACTTTATTTTCTTTTTGATTTTATAGTCTTTTAGGAGAAACAAAACTTGATGGGAGATTTAGCAGCTGGCTTCTAGGGAAGTCTTCTGAGGGTAGTATTTGGTTCATCCATTTACTGAGCTCCTACTATGTGCCATGCATAAATCTAGGCAAGCAGAAAGACCAGTTTCAATGGCGAAGCATCTGACGTTCTCATGTTTCTTTTTTTAAAAAAATTGGGCTATAGCACAAGAATACAGATCTAGAATACCTTATCTGAAACAATTGGGCTTTGGTATATTTCGGATTTCAGAATCTTTTAGATTTTAGAAAGGTAATAGTATTCCTATATTGTTTATCACTATGTAACACCCCTAACAAGGTTTGAGGAAACACTCCATAATTAAACATATTGGTATTTCCACAGTGAAACATATTGATAGTTACGCCAAATGGCATAACTCATGACTATGAATAGTCTCATATCAAGATTGGTCAGGTTTTGCCACATAATATAAAAATACTTTGGGTTTTCAGATCATTTTTAGATTTTAGTATTGAGGATAGAAGGTGTATCTTTATTTAGCCTGAGGCTGTATTTTGGACAGCTTCGGCTCTTTGCCATATATCTGAGACCGCCAAATGGCATAACTCATGACTATGAATAGCCTCATATCAAGATTGGTCAGGTTTTGCCACATAATATAAAAATACTTTGGGTTTTCAGATCATTTTTAGATTTTAGTATTGAGGATAGAAGGTGTGTCTTTATTTAGCCTGAGGCTGTATTTTGGACAGCTTCGGCTCTTTGCCATATATCTGAGACCTGGGAAGAAAGCAAATTGTTGCCTTATCTGCCAAAATGACTGTCTTAAAATTCTTGAACTAAAGTTTGTGCAGTTTATTCTCTAGAAGAGGCCCTTGGCCCAGCATTCAGAGTTTATTGATTTACTTGCACACTGTTCTAATAATCTTGGTTACCTGATTTCTCAGACCACAACAGATGAGAAACAGCATGTTGGAGGCGAAGAAAGGCTGTTAGATGGAGGCAGGCTGCCACTGATTATAGCACAAATCACCACGAGAGAGGAGGTAGATCCTCTTGTATGGTTAGGTACTGTCTGATAATTGATGTTTTTTTATGATGACTGAGTCATGAGCTGTGTTTAAGTATGTCAGTATATTTTGTTCAGGGACAGCATTAAGTTATCATGCAGTGTTTCCCAAACTATGTTCCATGAGCTGTTAATAAGTATTCCACAAATGTGGTCGATTAAGTTTTAGAAATACTGTGTATATAGAGTAGCCTCCTTTTGGGAATTCATAATACATGTTAGTATATTAAGTGTGTTACGAACATCTTCAGAAAAGAAATGTTTAATCTAGTTTTTCCTAAACTTATTTGACCCTGGAATTTTCCTTACCCCTGTGGAACACATCACCATCTTATAGAACAGTTTGGGAAATTTTAATCTTCTATGTTTTACAATTTTTTTTTTATTGAAAGTTTTTTAAAAACCAAAACTTAAAATTGCTTTACTAAAATGTTCCACTTTTTGATGACGCCAGTTAGTGGCATTTACAGTATTACCCATTGTTCTTTAGTTACTCATAAGAAGTTTTGCTGTATGAAATGATTTCCATCTTCTGTGTTTTTAGGCATTTTTTTCAGTATGATCTGTTTGCTTTTAGGGCACTTGATGACATTAGTGAAAGCATCAAAGAACTTCAGTTTTACCGAAATAATATCTTCAAGAAAAAAACAGATGAAAAGAAGAGGAAAATTATAGAAAATGGGGAAAATGAGAAGACTGTGAGTTGATGCCAGTTCTCATGCTGCCACTACATAGTTCTCTGGAATCAACTTCTGGTGGTTTTTTTTTCACACTGACTACTTGGCAGAGCACCTTCCCTCAGTTAACTTGTATTCCCAGATTATTCAAGCAGATATCCCCTAAAATCCTATTTTTCTCCTATTGTGCTCTTTCCATTGTGACACAGCAGCTCCTTTGTAAGTACCAGGTCATGTCTATCTCTTGGTACATATCTGCATTTGCTTTTAGGCCATTTCTTTTGTTTTTTAAAAACAAAAAGATAAATAAAGCTTAGTTCTATTGAAATGCAAACCTTTTTGTACCATCTATTCTTGAGTAGTTTAATCATTGTAAAAAGGTGGCTTTTTTTTTTTTTTTAATGGTTTAGCTAATGTTTAAACTCTCATAATGCAATTAGGAATGGGTTAAATTTGTTATGTCAAACAAGAAGTGAACTTGTTCTGTTTTGCTTTAGAAGTCAAGAATAGAATAATGGGAGATAGGTTCAAAGAAGCAGATTTGGGTTCATCATTGTAGTTATTGAACTAACAGCTCTAGAATAGGCTACCCTTCATTGCATTCAAGAAATTTAAGTAAGGCATTGGACAGGGATTCTGTAAGTAATAACCAAGGTTTATTGACTAGATACTATGTGTAAGACATTCACTGTACTAGGTTTATAGAATGGAAATAGCTTGCTGCTGTAGGTTTAATCGTCAGTAAGTAGCTGAGAAAGGATTTCAGTTTGAATATATTAAGTCCTTATTTTATGTACTCTAGACCACAGTACTAAGGTGAGTCCTCAACCAGAGGGTCCAGTCAAATTCTCATTTCTTTGTGTACCTCATTTTGACAAATGCCCACGTAAGTCAGGAAGTCATAATTGGGAAAGGCCACAAGTGACCTGCCTCTAGTTGAGAACCACTGGATGAGAAGACTTCTGTGGTGATCTCAAATTACATTCCTATATGGTTACAGTCATTACGTGAACACAGTATGATCCTCATGTGTGATACTTACAGATACAGAAATCACTAGATGTAGACCAGAATAATTTAATAATATTTCCATTTGAATAACACTTCAACATGTACCTAAGTTGTGTTACTTATACAACAACCATATGAGTAGATAGAGGTTTTAGTGTAACTTTTTCCAGATGAGCAAAGTAAGGCTCAGATTCACAAGTGTAATTAATAAGTACAGGTTGATGAAAGCATGTCCACTGATTTTTCTGACCAGTGTTCTTTCTGCTTTCTGGAATGGCATGGGTTTTAGTTCATTTACCAACTTCAGTGGTTTGGAAGGCAGGATTAGACAGTAGTTAAGAACAGAGCTCTTGAGCCAAACTCTGGATTCAAATCTGAGCTCCTGACATACTAACTGACTTTGGCAAGTTTACTTCTCTGAGCCTATTTCTGTATCTGTAAAATGAGGTTAATAATGGTTCCTAACTCAAAGAATTGTTAGAATTCAATTAAATGCTATTCATATAGTTCTGAGCTCAGTGCTTGTTACACAGTGACCACCCTGTAATGATAGCTAACTGATACTGATAATAGATTAAACTCAGTTTAGGGTCTCTGTAAAAGGAATTATGATTAATTAGTTATGATAGCTGAGGGCATTATCTTAAATCAGCATTCACTTAATGCCTGTGACTAACCACATCATGCTAAGGACTATTCCAAGCTTCACTAACTTAGGCCTTGACCTGGTTTAGTATTTCCAACTAAAATTTGGCAAGGTGGCCTTTGCTTTTTTTTTTTTTTTTCCCTTTTTGTCTTTTTTCGTGACCAGCAACGGATCGCAACCTTCAGTGTCACGCCCGTACCGGACCGGGACCGGCCACGGGATCGCAACCCTCGGCGTTGCTCCCGTCCCTCACTCAGCCAGTGAGCGGCCGGTCTGCATGTGGGATCCGAACCCTCGGTGGGAGCGCCACCGCACTTCCCAAGTGGCGCACTATAGCAGTGCGCCACTGGGCTGGCCCCGTGGCCTTTGCTTTTACTTGGCTCTCAAGAATGTTATAAATTCTGATGCAAGAATAGGTATGAAAACAGCTTAATAAAGAGGTTCATAGGAACCAGATACTGCTGTCTATGGCACAGGATTTCTCTCACACAGCTGGCTGGTCTATGCATCAGTTTAACTGTTTTAGTCATGTCATTTAGTTAAAAAAATTTTTAACTCCTGGTGTTAAATTTTAAATCTGTCACATGAGTGGCCACCTTACTGATTTAATCCTTTGTTCTGTATCTGCATTATGTAGTGAAATTCTGTTTTCCTGGAATGGAGCTTGTGTTAGATTTTAGTAAAATAATTGGCAGCCTGTAAGATAAAATCTGGTATGACACAGTTCTGTGTGAAGATATGAAGAACTGTCAGTTATCAGTTCACTACTGGTCTGTTTAAAAATAAGAAATTTAAATTGTAGTGCTGGTATTCAGGATCTCACAGGGGATTCCTGAAGCTATGAAGTAATTTCTGTGAAATGAACTGCAGTGCAAATTGGTTTAAATATAATCACAGCTTGAGGAATGATCGGTATGTTTGTCTAGCAGAGCTTCCTGTTTCAGCTTCCTGTTTCGGCTTCCTATTTGGTGGTGATTCTGTGTATGCAGTAATTATCCTGCAAGCTGTATTCTTAGGATCATCCAGGTGTGTTCCCCCCCATTAAACTCCAGGGGATTGAATCAGTACTTTGATGATAATATCTAGTTAGTATTCTTTGAGTACTTTAGCCATTGTACTGAGTATGTGGGCAAGAAAGATGCCCTTTTTCTGGCATTTTAGCCATAGGAAATAAGAAAGAAACCTGAGACACCTGTGTTTTCTCATTTACAAAACAACATACAGACAATCCTTGACTTACATGATGGTTTGACTTAAGACTTGTCCACTCTGAGATGGTGTGAAAGCAGTAAGTATTTAGTAGAAACTGTTCTTCAAGTATTCGTATAACCATTTTGTTTTTTACTTTCAGTATACTGTTCAGTAAAATATATGAACACTTTATTCTAAAATAGGCTTTGTGTTAGATAATTTTGCTGAACCGTAAGCTAATGTAAGTGTTCTGAGCATGTTTAAGGTAGGCTAAGCTAAGCTATGATGTTTGGTCTGTTTTTTACTTTCAGTATACTGTTCAGTAAAATATATGAACACTTTATTCTAAAATAGGCTTTGTGTTAGATAATTTTGCTGAACCATAAGCTAATGTAAGTGTTCTGAGCATGTTTAAGGTAGGCTAAGCTAAGCTATGATGTTTGGTAGGTTAGGCCTATTAAATGCATTTTTTTGGTTTTTGGAGTTTTTTTTGGGGGGGTGGTGTGGCTAGTATGGGGATCTGAACCTTTGACCTTTGTGTTACAAGGCAGTGCTCTAATCAACTGAGCTAACCAGCCAGCCCATAAATGCATTTTTGATATTTTTAATTTACGATGGGTTTATTGGGATGTAGCTCCATTGTAAGTTGAGGAACATCTCATCTCTTTGTTAAAAAGCCAGCTGACAAACTACAGGGAAATTGATAGTTTCCTTTGGCAGAACTGGTACTCTTACATGTGTAAGCCTTAAAGAAAAAATAATAGCCAGTCATATGTTCAAGTGCAGTTTTGTCATATTGATTGCTTTGTGGTAGTCCATGAATGTCCCAGGTTCACTCAAATGCCCTCACATTTTGAAAAATTAATACACAGCAGGGAAAGTGGAAAATTGGTTGTTGCTAGGATAAGCCAGATGCAGCAGATTGATGAGGGCAAAAGCATTTATATTCCACAGCTATTCATGAGGGCGAAAGCTATTACATTCTGTAGCTGTTGATGAGGGCAAAAGCTGGTATGCTGTGTATCTATTGATATATGCTGTATATCTGTTGTGAAAATTAATTGTTTTAGTTATTTGAACAAAGCCTTTCATTTTATGTGGCTCATGATAAAACCATAGATAGCCATGGTAGTAATATAAAGGAAGGATTCCTTACTAGTTCAGCATTTTCTGTTGAATAAAGGAGTATTATAGCTTCAAAATCCCTTTAATAAGAAGGGATTGTAAATCTTCATTCCAGTAGAATGCAGGCAGATGCGGCAGTTGGTTTCACAACTGACAAGTCAAGTTAAATGCATAGGAACTGAGACTTAACTCAGTCTTCAGGATAATTTAATCAGCTTAATTTTATACCTGAATTATGATACTACTGATATTCTGGGATACAGAAAACAAGAGTCTCCCAATAGGGATAAGCCCTAGAAGCGGGAGGCTGTGGAGTTCTTAAAATGAAAACTTACCATGAGCAATCTACAGAATCCTTTGGAATCTAGGATAAGATACATGATTTGGGTTGCACAATAATGTGAATGTGCTTAATGCCACTGAACTGTACACTTAAAATGACAAAAATGGTAAATTTTATGTATATTTTAACATACACACATGATGCATAATTTACTGGGACCCGTTTTCAGAATGATCCTGTCTTAGGACCAGTGTGTAATGGGGCCGGCTTAGAGGAGCTGAACTCTGGGAACCTTACTTGTGCCCTTAGGAAGAGTAACTTGCCCTTTGTTTTCTAATATGGAATCGCAGGAAGTGGACAATTTAGGGAAGTGCTTTCTTTAAGTCAAACCATCAAAATGGTATAAGGAATTGCTGATTTTGTTTACAGATAAAGGAAATTTGACAGGATAATATCCTTTAGGAGCATCTAACCTCCTTGTACCTCCAAATTTAGCCATATGAGATGGGGAAAGAGATGCTTCTGGATTTTGAGTTAGGTGTATTCCCTGGATAATCTAGGTTGATAGGCCCATGTAGGCTGCCTTGAACACAGCGCTGTTTAGTTTCTGTGGAAAAACTTTTCCCTTTTGAATTCCATTTAATGAGGTTAGAATTTGTACTGAGCAATAGAATTGTTAATTTAGAGACGATATATAATTTTATACATTCACTCATCTTGGTTGTACTCTATTTGTTCAAATTATTCATTTTTCTTACATACTCTCTTATCTTTACCATCTTAGGGATTCTAAGGTACCTTATTATATCATTCTACCTTATTCTGTCTTTAAAGTCTTCTATGCAGTAGGTGGACATGATAGCCCATTCTTTTTATGTTCATAATTACCAACTAGCAGAAACTTGCTTTGCCTCACATGTGATGACGGAGATGCAAAAAAGCCCATTTCTTCTCAGCAGTGAGACACCCCGAAGGGGTTAATTTCCTGTAACCCTCAAGAGAGAGGCATTCCTCCTTTGGGAAATTAACACTGAACTGGGGTTCCTTCTCAGTATTTATTCTCCAGGCCAGAAAGTTA